TGATGAGTGTGGTGGATGCACGTGATGTGTGTAGACTGTGAGTGATGGGTGTGGTGGATGCACGTGGTGTGTGTGTGTTGACTGTGAGTGATGAGTGTGGTGGATGCACGTGGTGTGTGTAGACTGTGAGTGATGAGTGTGGTGGATGCACGTGGTGTGTGTAGACCGTGAGTGATGAGTGTGGTGGATGCACGTGGTGTGTGTAGACTGTGAGTTATGAGTGTGGTGGATGCATGTGGTGTGTGTGTGTTGACTGTGAGTGATGAGTGTGGTGGATGCACGTGGTGTGTGTAGACTGTGAGTGATGAGTGTGGTGGATGCACGTGGTGTGTGTAGACTGTGAGTGATGGGTGTGGTGGATGCACGTGGTGTGTGTAGACTGTGAGTGATGAGTGTGGTGGATGCACGTGGTGTGTGTAGACTGTGAGTGATGGGTGTGGTGGATGCACGTGGTGTGTGTAGACTGTTAGTGATGGCTGTGGTGGATGCACGTGGTGTGTGTAGACTGTGAGTGATGGGTGTGGTGGATGCACGTGGTGTGTGTAGACTGTGAGTGATGAGTGTGGTGGATGCACGTGGTGTGTGTAGACTGTGAGTGATGAGTGTGGTGGATGCACGTGGTGTGTGTAGACTGTGAGTTATGAGTGTGGTGGATGTACGTGGTGTGTGTAGACTGTAAGTGATGGGTGTGGTGGATGCACGTGGTGTGTGTAGACTGTGAGTGATGGGTGTGGTGGATGCACGTGGTGTGTGTAGACTGTGAGTTATGAGTGTGGTGGATGCACGTGGGGTGTGTAGACTGTGAGTTATGAGTGTGGTGGATGCACGTGGTGTGTGTAGACTGTGAGTGATGGGTGTGGTGGATGCACGTGGTGTGTGTAGACTGTGAGTGATGAGTGTGGTGGATGCACGTGTTGTGTGTAGACTGTGAGTGATTAGTGTGGTGGATGCACGTGGTGTGTGTAGATTGAGTGATGAGTGGATGCACGTGGTGTGTGTGTGTAGACTGTGAGTGATGGGTGTGGTGGATGCACGTGGTGTGTGTAGACTGTGAGTGATGAGTGTGGTGGATGCACGTGGTGTGTGTAGACTGTGAGTGATGAGTGTGGTGGATGCACGTGGTGTGTGTGTTGACTGTGAGTGATGGGTGTGGTGGATGCACGTGGTGTGTGTGTGTGTTGACTGTGAGTGATGGGTGGTGGTGGATGCACGTGGTGTGTGTGTGTGTGTTGACTATGAGTTATGGGTGTGGTGGATGCACATGGTGTGTGTTGACTGTGAGTGATGGGTGTGATGGATGCACGTGGTGTGTGTGTAGATTGTGAGTGATGGGTGTGGTAGATGCACGTGGTGTGTGTGTTGACTATGAGTGATGGGTGTGGTGGATGCACGTGGTGTGTGTGTTGACTGTGAGTGATGGGTGTGATGGATGCACGTGGTGTGTGTAGACTGTGAGTGATGAGTGTGGTGGATGCACGTGGTGTGTGTAGACTGTGAGTGATGGGGTGGTGGATGCACGTGGTGTGTGTGTGTGTGTTGACTGTGAGTGATGGGTGTGATGAATGCACGTGGTGAGTGTGTTGACTGTGAGTGATGAGTGTGGTGGATGCACGTGGTGTGTGTATGTGTTGACTATGAGTGAGAGATGAGTGACTATCACTGGACAACGCCACGGAGTGACAGGGCACGGAGGAGACACGGGGAGTGGCTTAATCCCCACACACAGAGATGATGATGATGCTCCTGCAACACTCACCACCGATGGCTGTTGTTATTTCACTGCCCTTCGTGGGGAAGTCAAGGAGCTATTACAGTCAGTGTGTGGGTGTGAGGAAATGAACGAGAAACCAATCAGATTAAATTAGCTCTGTCGGGGTAGCTCTGGTACGGACGGTCGTACTACTCCCCTCTTTAAACATTAAACTTAAAGAAGGTTCCAGGTAAGGGCTGCTGAGCTATATAGCTCTTTTTCAGAAGTGACCTGACCCCAAATGGTAGTCCAATGAAGTGGCTTATCATGTTGACATTTGTAGCATCCAAATACTCCAAAGGCATGTTTCTAAATGTGGAGGGGAAACCCTGAGGGCCTGGAGTTAAATCCACGCGACCACGGGGGGGGGGGGGGGGGGGGGGGGGGGGGGCGGGGGGGCGGAGAGAGAAACACGTTAACTCAAAACACACAGCAGCAGCAGGCGTCAGGGTCTGGATCGAACCCACGACCTCCTGTATACCAGGCGAGGTAGCTAACATCTCACCCTCATCCAGGACCAGCTCTGTGCCTGGGCAGAGCCAATTTTTCGTTTGTAAATAGGATCGATTAAAATATAATATTGTTTCCATTTTAAAATAAGTCTTTATTAGTTCCTGAGCCGCAGACCAGATCTCGTTTTCCGAACCCGCTCAGGGCCGACACCAGTGTGATGTTTAAATAGACATCGCCACTGGGGAGACAAAGGCGGCTGGCCGTGGTGTTGACCACCCACCCCCTCGTGTGCCATGCTGACCTTCATAGGTGCTACTCGCTAACAGCACTTGTCCCAACAGTCTGTTCAATGCTATACAAGGGTGTCCATGGTTCCAATCTCATTATCCGGCCAATAACAGTGAATGCTGCGATAACCATGCGAAATGGGTAGAGTAGTCAAATAATTTACTCTTATTAGCTCTACAAATACATCGGTACGACTAGAGTTGTAAGTGGTATCTAGTTCTGCCCTGGTCCATGGTCTGTATGTGACTTGTCACTGAAGTAGTGAATGAACACGCAATTAAATGCTGCCTAGTGCGTATTGCTGGGAATAGTATGAAATGAGTGTTGTGTAAGATCGAGTTATAGATACACATCTAAAAGCCTCCACACATCTCCCACCAGTATGAATGCCCGTTCAATGTTTGAACACTCCTGCTGAGACACTACGTGCCCAACGTAGCCCATGTGGTTTTCTTACAACATTCGGTGATGCCGAAGCTGAGGTCTTTAGAAAATTAGTGGGGCTATCCATAAATGGGTTCCCCTGGCATGATGGTGTTGTGTACTCATTTCTGTCAACCCCTTATCAGTGCCGACCTTATTACGGACTAATTAGGACCTTATTGTTCACCCCGTGGCCTTCTAAATATCAACGTTCATCCTACATAGTCCCATCACAAGGGAGAAACACAAACAAATAGACACAATTATTATTATTTTTTGCCCGTATTGAAACGGCTGTATGCCGTATGGACCTGAAAACTCAATTTCCCTTTTACAAAAATACGGGTAAACCGTATGGGTTGACAGGTATGTGAACTGCACTGTGTATGTTATACTGTGCATGCATATGGCCGATGGGACTCACAATGTTGTAACATTTCAAGCTTAATTTATTTCCCTTTTTTTACCAACAGGTGCAATTGTTGTATACGTGTCACCACGGCCAATGCAAGTAATACCATGACCACAACCACCACCATACAAATGACCACCACCATCAATCACCACCCAAATTGACCGAAGAATGCCGTATGCTACTTTGCACAGCTTAGTTCGCAAGTCAGCAATATTTCCGTCACGGTGGTCAATCTTTTATATTTATATTTTACTGCGGGGTAATCTTTCCAGGTTACTCGATTATCACATTTGAGAGTGGATGAAAACAAATCTAGAGGTTCCTTTTCTGAGAGGTGAAAATCGCACGTGTTCTTCTTTTATGAAACACCACCCTATAATTGTAAACGATATGCATCACATTAAGAAATCGCCAGAACTGAATAACACAGCTCTTTGAATGGAATAACGCAGACTTGAAACACATGAAGCACTGCTTTCAATTAAATAGTTGAGAACACCCTGGAGGTATATTAAACAATGCTCACTTTAAATTGAATAACCAAATGAAAACACAAATTTACCCGAAGTTATTCATTGCAAATTGATGTTTTGCAGTATTAGCTTTCGTCAATAACACTTGTTGCCTTAAAAATTGACCTTCAGAGCACATACTTAGAAAGGTCAGAGATATAAGGGTTTATAAGAGTTGGAGACTAAACTGAACACTGCGGTACCAGATGAAACTGAAATACAATACATTTTATGATTTAAATTTCGATTTAAAGCTTTCGTGACTGCAAGGATTCATCTTCTTTGGTTCTTTCGGTAAAGTCACGTAGAATGAGAATAAAATAATAAATCAAGAAGTAAGAATCCACCCATTTTTTCGCCATATAGCATTGTGATATATAACGACTTATTGTTGGTAGCTTAGCTGATTGGAGAATATATAGAGTTTATTGATAACATTGAGGTAATTTATATTTTAGTTTTTTATTGGTTCATTATATAGTATTTATTATATATTGTAGTGTATACCCAGTTACTGTGAATAGCTCAGATTTGTAGGCCTTGACTTCAACATAGCCATTTCTGTGACCAGTCACAAGCTAATCACTCAGTTATTTCAATGCTAAATTCGCCTAGTTATTTCAATGCTAAATTCTCCTGTTTGATTTGTACTAGGTGCCTCTGTGAAAGTGTATGCTCTGACTTTAACATAGCTATTTCTGTGACCAGTCACAAGCTAATCACTCAGCTATTTCAATGCTAAATTCTATGCTAATTCCTTTGTCAAGGGGTGCCTCTGCGGATGTGTATGCTTTAACTTTAACATAGCCATTTCTGTGACCAGTCACAAGCTAATCACTCAGCCATTTCAATGCTAAATTTTATGCTAATTCCTTTGTCAATGCGCTTTGTTTCTTCTCACACAGCTTAAAGGTCGCGATCTGAGCGTGGCTTTTTCACTCCAGCGCTGTCCTCCAGACAGTCTCGTCCCTTCACCTGATGAAGGCCTCTTGTGTTGTGGCCGAAACGTCGTGAGAATATTATTGTGTTATTTTATTTTATCAATTTATTATTTTATTCTCATTCTACATGACTTTACCGAAAGAACCAAAGAAGATACATTTTATGACTTCAAAAATAAATTAATAAAGCCAATTTTAAAACTGGTCATCATAAAACCTTCATATATTTTAAATAACAATGCCCTATATTCAATTGTTTTTTTAAGTGCAGTCTCCAGCCTGAAATAACTTTGTACCTGGCTTCCCCGTCTTTCTATGAAGAAGGTCCATTACCAGAAACTTCACCCATTACGGTAATATATGTTTTCTTTTAAGGCAGTGTTATAGACGAATGTGTGGAGTAATTTCTTGTTAGTTGTGCTTGTGCACCACTGACAACGCTGCATGCTTGTGCAGACACTGAAATAGTGGACTAGCAAGTACATTTAACGCTATTGGCATATTGCTATATATTTTTTACTTTTAGTTTTCTTGTCATATGTTGGTTGTTAGGTTTATAGAACGGCCACTTTACTCCCTTCTTCCTCCTACTTTCCCCTTCTCTCTCCCTTTCCCTCCTCCTTTTTGTAGTTTTTGGTGTGTTGTTATTCGCAGCGTTCTGCACGGTGATACATACACATTGAGATAATTTATCAGTATCTGCTGTTGTTTTATTGTGGTAAATGGAAGGTTTCTTTTTGAAAAAAAAAATCAACGGTATAGGTCAAGGATGGCCAAGTCATAGCGAGCGAGTCACGTGCAGATTCCTTGCAGGTATTTCATGTGCGTCTCGATTTAACGATGTGAACACAGCTCATGTTTAACTTTTCACAGTGACCTTGTTGGAAAAAGGAGAACATCTGCAAAAACAGGAGCAGCCTTGCTGAAACTTGCCCCTGGCAGCGGAGCCAGACAAAATTCCACAGCCAACCAGAAGCATGTCCACCCGACAGGCGCACTCCAAGTCTCTTGAAGCACTTGGCCATATGATGATGTTGGCATGAGCCTCATGAGGTCAGGAGTTTGACACCCTTCCAAATGTACAGTATCTAGAGTACATATCTGGCCACAGACTATGTTCTCATGAGTTAATTAGTTCAATACATCGCTTAATTATTATCCCTATTCTATGAACATTATGGGATGTCAACAAATCACTTAGTGGGGAAATTGACGGCATAGACGCGCATAATTTCGCATTTAGCCTCCACGGCCACGCCACAATGCACGGTAGGAGAAGGTTCCCCTCAATCACAATTAAAATGCTGTCCTAAGCTGCTTTGCTCCAACAAAAAATGCCCTCATTACACCTCGTAATGCGCTGGGTCACGCGGCGTTTTGTCATTTTGAGCTGACCACTGTTCGCAACAGGACAATTTGTGGAGGGGTATAAAATGAGGAGGCTATTTGAGCCAGCCCCAGTGCGGTCTGCGTGTGTGTGCGGTCTGTGTGTGTGTGTGCCCTCACATTCAATCAACCGCATCGCACATCCGGCAACGCTTTTTACATCTGCCTCCGGACGTGATACGAACTTGCTGCGACTCTCGCTTCTGCGCTGTGCCGATAACAAAGAGTTACGCTAGGGAGCTCTGTGGACACCATGCCTGGGGACAGGTCACTGTGTCACCCTCCGGATGGGAGAACCGTCTACGACTTCTCCTGCAAGACCCTGGAGGGCAGCCGCGTGTCCCTGGGGAAGTATCGCGGGCAGCTGGCGTTGATCACGAACGTGGCATCCTTCTGAAGCCAGACATCAAAGCAGGTGCAAGCCACGGAAAGCCCTCTCGTGTACACGCTTTGGTGGTCTTGGGTCGGAAGAAGTTGTTTTGTGCACTTTTCAAATCTAAGATTGTAAACTCGTTTCTGTAGAAGAGTTTATTTTTTGCGTGTGTTTCATTAGTTATCCTCCCTCCTCCCCCCCGCCCACCCCGAAACCTCCAATTAGCGGGGTTTGGCAACGTAGGGTGCGAAAGAAGTTATCAACATACATACATAAGCACACATAATCTAGACACAGTTCTCACGTAAGCAACCACGTGTTGACACTGCACCGGTGAGGGTCGAAGGTGATGGGCAACTTTTGGTACAAACGCACTTGGGACACAGTGGCGGCTGGTGGCTCACATGTTTGTTCGAGGGCTTGTTCGGTTCAATTAAAGAATGAATTGCAATTAATTAATCTCAAAGTAATGTGCCCACAATTAATAAGTTGTAGGGTAGAGTATTGTGCAACACCACAACACTACTAGCGTCACCATCATCACCATCATCATCATCATCTTTACCACAATCAGAATCTTTATTTAGACTGCAGGAGAAATCCGATGAGCTATGAAGCTCTTTTTCACAGGTGTCCAGTATGGGCTGCTCAGCATCACCACTTCCATCATAATCGATATCGCTATCCTGCCCACCACTATCAACATCGTCATCGTCGTTAGCCAATGTCTACAATCACTGCGATTGTACATAGCGATCATCGCCCCCTCCGATTGACAGACTAATGTCTCCAGATCGCTCTTGCAGATGAGACCTCGTCCTGGTCTATGGTGTTCTCGCCTGGTGAATATAAAAAAAGACTTGATCATCATCAGACAAATGCCTATCATCATTATTTTCATCATCACTAATATCCTAACCACCACCACCACCACAGTCAATCATCATCGTCATCCAATGTCTGTCCATGGATATCAATGTCTCGCATTATCAGTCAAATAATGTCAAGCATTGTACCCCTTACAATACTGCTCCAGTAAATACTTCTGTTACGTGTTGTGAGGCGCTCCATGAGAGCACAGGAGTCGAGGAATGAGAGGGATGTGAATGTAGTGGAGGCAGGAGAGAGATGGGAATGTAGTGGAGGAATGAGAGGAATGGGAATGTAGTGGAGGAATGAGAGGGATGAGAATGTAGTGGAGGAAGGAGAGAGATTGGAATGTAGTGGAGTAAGGAGAGAGATGTGAATGTAGTGGAGGAATGAGAGGGATGGGAATGTAGTGGAGGAATGAGAGGAGTGGGAATGTAGTGGAGTAAGGAGAGAGATGGGAATGTAGTGGAGGAATGAGGGGGATGGGAATGTAGTGGAGGAAGGAGAGGGATGTGAATGTAGTGGAGGAATGAGAGGAGTGGGAATGTAGTGGAGGAATGAGAGGAGTGGGAATGTAGTGGAGGAATGAGAGGGATGCGAATGTAGTGGAGGAATGAGAGGGTTGGAAATGTAGTGGAGGAATGAGAGGGATGGGAATGTAGTGGAGGAATGAGAGGGATGGGAATGTAGTGGAGGAAGGAGAGGGATGTGAATGTAGTGGAGGAATGAGAGGGTTGTGAATGTAGTGGAGGAATGAGAGGGTTGTGAATGTAGTGGAGGAATGAGAGGGATGTGAATGTAGTGGAGGAATGAGAGGGATGTGAATGTAGTGGAGGAATGAGAGGGTTGTGAATGTAGTGGAGGAATGAGAGGGTTGGAAATGTAGTTGAGGAATGAGAGGGTTGGGAATGTAGTTGAGGAATGAGAGAGATGTGAATGTAGTGGAGGAATGAGAGGGATGGGAATGTGGTGGAGGAATGAGAGAGATGTGAATGTAGTGGAGGAATGAGAGAGATGAGAATGTAGTGGAGGAATGAGAGGTATGGGAATGTAGTGGAGGAAGGAGAGGGATGTGAATGTAGTGGAGGAATGAGAGAGATGTGAATGTAGTGGAGGAATGAGAGAGATGTGAATGTAGTGGAGGAATGAGAGGGATGTGAATGTAGTGGAGGAATGAGAGGGTTGGGAATGTAGTGGAGGAATGAGAGGGTTGGGAATGTAGTGGAGGAATGAGATGGATGGGAATTAGGTCAAACAGCTGTCAGTGGGGCAGCAGCCAAGCCATGGCCACTGAGGAGGGGGGTGGGGGGTAGGAAAATGAGGGAGAGCCCAGAGAGCGGGCCGGGAGGGCGTGCGTTGGCTGCCCACGAGAGACTCTGAGAGACACAGAGTCTGAAGAGAGAGAGAGAGACACAGTGTGAAGAGACAGCGTCTATGGACTGAGACTGGGGAGAGACGGAGTGTGGAGAGACACTGAGAGACACAGAGTCTGAAGAGAGAGACAGAGACACAGTGTGAAGAGACAGCGTCTATGGAGAGACAGAGACACTGAGACTGGGGAGAGACTGAGTGTGGAGAGACACTGAGAGACACAGAGTCTGAAGAGAGAGACAGAGACACAGTGTGAAGAGACAGCGTCTATGGAGAGACAGAGACACTGAGACTGGGGAGAGACTGAGTGTGGAGAGACACTGAGAGACACAGAGTCTGAAGAGAGAGACAGAGACACAGTGTGAAGAGACAGCGTCTATGGAGAGACAGAGACACTGAGACTGGGGAGAGACTGAGTGTGGAGAGAGATTGAGAGACACAGAGTCTGAAGAGAGAGACAGAGACACAGTGTGAAGAGACAGCGTCTATGGAGAGACAGAGACACTGAGACTGGGGAGAGACTGAGTGTGAAGAGACACAAAGAGTGTGGAGAGACACAGATCGTGTGGAGAGACAGATCGTGTGGAGAGACACAGATCGTGTGGAGAGACAAGTCTCTATCTCCCGTGGTCACGTGGATTTTTCTTTGGAGCTATCATTTGTCGCCTGGTCGCTTCTGAAAAGAAAACTAGACATGGCTCAATGGGCCCTTACCACGCATGGTGTCTCCGTGTGGAGTGGTGGTGGTGGCTAGGCCTTGGCAAGGTAAGGTAAAAGGTAACAGGGAAAAAACAACGAGGCTACCTTTACCCTACCTTTTACCTTACCACAATACAATCACTCTACCATACCTTTTATCCTTCAGCAGGTAAGGTAAAAGGTATAAAGCAACGAGCCTACCTTTACCCTACCTTTTACCCTTACCCCATACAAATTACCCGATTACAGGATAATTACTGGGGTACCACACATGAAAAAGGTTTATAACAGGTAAATTCTAGGTAGAGCGCTTTATTCATTTATAGAATACTCTCGATTCTTCCAATTTTACACGCTTTCTTTTAACTCGGTCTGTTGTCGTTGTATCCTCAAATCTTGTAACTCAATGTGGTATCGACTGCAAACTTGGTATACTTATGTCTTACTGATGACAATACTATATTCTATCATAAAAAATATATATTTTTAAACATTATTTTTTATATGTTATGTTTCGACTTGGGTCTAACTATCCACGGTCAACTCACGTTGGCTGTAAATCACCACGGTCCCCTTACGTTGTGGCAAGCTTCGGGGCCACTTCCTGGAGTCGTGGAGTTCTGCCATTACTAGTACGGTACATTTCATTAAAGCGTGTTTTTAAAAAATATTTTTTTAAATATTACTTATTAAATGGAGGCCACGGACTGCACCACGGAGCTTTTAGCGGTAAACAAGGCACCGTATTTACCGGGTAATACTTCACGCTACCTTTACCCTACCGGGTAATTCTTCCGAGCTACCTTTACCTTACCCCTTGGCATGTCGATACCTTTACCCGGTAAAAAGGGTAAATTACCTTCCCTTGCTGAGGCCTAGTGGTGGTGGTGTTGTGGCATCTACTACACAGTACGGTATATGATACTGGTAGGAACCCCTGGTTACACCAGTCCACAGGGGATTATTGTGTCCGTCCGTCCGTCGTTCATCCAAAAATGGGAGGGGTGGGTCTGGGTGGGGAGGGAGGTAGGGGCTGGGTGGGGAGGGTTGGGCTGGGTGGGGGGTGGGAGGGGTGGGGCTGGGTGGGGGGTGGGAGGGGTTGGGCTGGGTGGGGAGGGGCTGGTCACCCCGTGGTGCCCTTATAAAACTCAACATTTAACCTACACACGCCGGCTTGTGCCCGCCTTCACAGTCGGGCATATTTGCGGAATACACCACGTGGTGCCGCCGTTGACCCTGGCCATTGAACCGAGCAACCCAACGTTCCTACCAGCTCCCTCCGCAGGAGAATGTGTTTCCAACAGCCCCACTTGCTTTCCTGGCCATGATGCACAACATATGGTGTTAGAACTGGCCTGGGCCTCAGCAAGGGCGACACCGCATGAAATAAATAGTCACAATTATGCCCGTGAATTTGCCGTGGAAGGTCTACCCTGAGTGGCTACACTCGTTTTCAAGAGGCTCTTTGATGAGGGCGTTCGGCCTCATGGCATCTGTTGAGTGGCGTGTCAGAGGAAAGCGGAGAACCTGCAGAAACCTTCGTGAAGAATACTCCAGCACGGGTCAGGTCGAGTAAAGAGTCCGCTGTTGTACCACCATCTCCTGGCCACCTCTGCGGCTCAAGCCTACAACACCTGGCATTTGCAGGCAGAATTTCTCATGCCAAGTACTAAGCAGGCTGAACACTGCTGAGCTTCGAAGATCTGATGAGATCGGGTGATTTGGTCATAGGTACCGGATGCGATGTATTAGCTAACAGTGCTGGGGAGATACAGGCAGGTGAGGAAAGGACATCACCACCCTTCAAGTTTCAAGCTGAGTTTGTTTAAACCAGGCGATAACTCAAGAGACCAGGATGAGTCTCGATTAGCGAGAGTGACTTCGGTACGTGCTTGTGTCCCTGCACGTGTGTGTGCGTGCAGTATCCACTGCTGAATGCACTCATGAGCGACTTCTCTCGCTTCGGATTCACTGTCCTGGCCTTCCCCTCCAATCAATTCGGCTTGCAGGAGCCAGGCAAGTTTGTGTGTCTGTGTGTGTGCAAGTGTGTGCTAGTGTGTGCGTGCACTCAGCCTCAAATGAGTACCTGGTGCGGTGTGTAAACATCGCCACAAGGGAGACAAAGGCGGTCGGGCATAGTGCTGACCACCCCCTCATGTGCCGTGCCGGCCTTCATAGGTGCTCGCTAACAGCACTTGCCCCAACAGTATGTTAAGGCTATATGGGAGATTTTTGTCTTTGCCATGCAGGCAACCACGTTGGGTCGTGCCATCAGCAGAGCCAAGCATGTTAAGAAAAATATTGGCCAATTACCCTAGGTTATTGGCAAGAGCACTTCATATAAAATATGGGACTCTGCTCTGTTCATCGTCGAGCATGATGGGCACAAGCGAATATAGCGGAACTCTGTTCTGTCTCCACATATTAAAACGCATTTCCTGTTTGGTTTCAAGGCCAATATTGTCAAGCAGCATTTAATGCAATGACTGTGTGTGTTTTGGCGAGCAGGAAATAACAATGAGATCCTGAACTGCATCAAACATGTGAGGCCTGGAGGTGGATTCGTGCCCAACTTCCCCATTTTCTCCAAGGTGGATGTGAATGGAGATGAAGCAGACCCTCTCTTCAAGTATCTCAAGGTGGGTGGGAGTGACGGGATCGTTCAGGGTCACAGTGCTGAGCCAGCACTCCAGAGATCCTGAAGACCTTGGTTCGAATCTGGGTTTCAGCCACCCATCCGTCATTTAGCCGGGTTTTTGAAGTGTCACGAGTGTACGGTGTCAGCCCGGTCACCAATGACAGAACACAAATAATTCCATCACACCACATTGGTTTTGTCACTTTATTAGGCACATTTTCAGCTATTGACTGAGAGTAATTGTTTGACTGCCCGACAGAAATTAATACATTTGACGAAGCACGCTTTAGTGTGAATACAATAGGTCACACATCGTCACAAATGTCCTACCCCCCCGGTGCATCACGTCATTTATGGACGGCCCCTAAAAGTTCGTGCATTCTTTGTTGCTGACCACAATGCGTGCTCGTGTCGCTGCGAGTTGTGCTGTACGCAATGTGTGTACATGTGTAGTGACTAACTCGGAGACGCTAAGATTTGGAGGCACTTTTATTTATCGAGCACCCTCGGCACAAGACACACCCTACGTGGGTACACACTATTGCTGTTGCTAGCCTATACACAACACCACGTGGGTACACACTATTACTGTTGCTAGCCTATACACAACACCACGTGGGTACACACTATTACTGTTGCTAGCATATACACAACACTACGTGGGTACACACTATTACTGTTGCTAGCCTATACACAACACCACGTGGGTACACACTATTGCTGTTGCTAGCCTATACACAACACCACGTGGGTACACACTATTACTGTTGCTAGCCTATACACAACGCTAGCCCTCTAACACCGACGGCGCTGAACCGAGACAGCCAACTAGCGTCTAGCAGCGCAATATCAAGTGAAGACGACAGCGACGATGGCGACGAGATGACAGCGACGATGGCAATGATCTTCAACAGCACGACGGGGATCCCACTCCATACGACAGCCCCGAGCTCTCGCTCAGGGCCCCCTTTTATGCTCCCAGCGTGACCTCGCTCCGCCCCGGCCACGCCCCCTCTCTAGAAACTACCAGCGGGTTCCCGGGCTTCCCCCACTTGCCCCTTCTGTGACCTTTCCCCCAGATGTCCCCTCTGGTGTATCACGTGGCCTGCTGACGTCAGGGCTGCTGTAAACAGCAGATCCCCTTCCCCGCCAGCAGCCAGCGCTATGCTGCTACATTACTGATTCTCTGTCACGACACGTAGACAACGTGCCACACTTCCTGCTCAAACCCTCAATTGGGCAGTGCTCGTAAAAATAGCAAAACAACATGAATGTTTACAGCACCTCAATGCAATAGCTGAGTTAGAGCTGGATGGACAGGTGGTGCATTGTGCGATGAACCCAGCTACATGAGTTTGATTACGGGACCATGGTCAACATCAGTGGCAGGTGATCTCTATATTGAACTATTAAACAATTTTATTTATTTTACCAGATAAGGCCCACTGAGCTATATAGCTTTTTTCAGAAGCGATCTGGTCACATATGATGGCTCAACAAAGTTGGATTATCGTGTGGAAAGTACTAGCAGAAGAAATAATCTAAAAGCATGTTGAGTCTAACTGTGGAGGGAAAAACCGGAGGACCTGGAGAAAAATCCACACGACCACGCAAACTCCAAATATACAGGCGTCAGGGTCGGGATCAAACCCATGACCTCCTGTATACCAGGCGAGGTAGTTAATAACTTGCCACCATGGCGCCCATCTGAACTGGTCATGATCTCGCTCCCCTTTATCAACTCACACTCACCAGCACGATCAAGTATGGCCAGTCAACTCCCATGACTGAAAAAGCCTTCATCTAGTGGTGGATTGATAAAGGATTGCCTCAAGAAGCTGTACAAAGCGGTCATATAGACACAAACAGGACACTTGAAACTAAAATAATACGTTAACAATAATACGAATGCACGAGTTAGGCGTCATAAATACTTAAACAATACGCTTGCTATTTCTTACAAGGAAAATGTAGTAATTTGAGTGGAAGGAAACATAAATAATGAGTAGATGCGCAGGCGAAGGTGCAGGAGGCAAGTAACATCTACGATTGTTCTCGGGAAAATGTACAAAGTACATGTTCTTTCTTATTTAATTTATCTGCATTTCCACTGAACTGCGCGTGAAATGCCCTTCTTGGATGTGGGAAAATCAGGCTGACCAACTACGCAGGGCATTAGATGCGATTGGACGCTTTATAAAGCCGACCCGTCACTCTGTGGGGCATCGCCTCGTGCGTTTTTGTTCCCATCAGGGGCCATCCATTCAGTACGCACGCATGCGTACGCTTGCGTATGGGGGGGGGGGGGTCTACTGACAATGTGCGTACGCATGGTAAACGGGGGGGGGGGGGGGTGAAGCCTCGATAATAATTTGTCTACATTGGCCTTCAAATGAGTTAGATAGTCCGGCGGTGGACTATCTGTTTGCTTAAACACGTTAATATTATTAATCCTTGATCGTTTCTGCGTGGATTGAATATCGGCCGTTCTATTGGATTCGGGGTGGGGGGATGGGGGTAGTGCGTCAAGCTGTACGTACGCAGGTGGTGGGGGGGGGGGTTAAAAAGTACACGTGCCTACAGGGAGGGGAGAGGGGTTCAGTTTTGACAGATTTTTTGCGTACCTACTAAATGGATGGCCTCTCGCCTGCGACTTTTTCCCACACGATGCCCATATGCTGCTGCTGTTGTTGTTAACGAGCTTGTTTGTCTGTCGGGGACGCTTGCGTAACTCGTTCATTAACAAAACGAAACATTTATACTTCCTCCTGAGTGTTGTTGAAGCTTAATATCCTTGACACGCATGACCTACCAAGACAGCTGTGTATTCGCTGCAGTCATAACCGAACGAGCTGAAACATCTTTTCTACATCAGACCACATGCGAGTTTACTTCCCTGTCCAACCGTTGGTCACTTTAGGAACGAAAATGTTCATGATAACGCAGACACTGGCAGTGCTGCATGACTCATTGTGAACATCGCATGAGAGTTTTTGATTGAACGCATGGTTAGTAACTCTGCACAGTCAATAATTGCTTTTCCATTTATTTTGGGCGATTTTTTTTACATTGAAGCAAAGGTGTAAAAATCACATTTGCACGTTTTAAAATGTGAGTAAAGATCACACGGCTCATCGTAGTGCATCGCAGCAATAACTTTTATTTAATCACAATCCCATTCACGCATCCACTTTGTGTAATCTGCAGACACCCCCTCTATATTATCCTGGTATTGGATGTAGCCTGTAAAATCTGTGGGCCACATCCGTTCAATTTGGAACAGTGGCATTTTGTTTAGCTCCAGGTTGAGGAGGTAAGAAAGTCCGCCTTAGGTTTTCCAGTCTCGGGTAATAACGCGTGCGAGTGGATTCATCGAAAGTCAGGAATGTGCTGGCAGTGGCTTCATCATCAATGCGTTCTCCAACAAACGGACACACGTTGCCCACCTAGCCTCCCAGGGGTCTGGTCTGGTGGGAGTCCAGAACTCAGTGCCGGATTAAACCAGTGCGGGGCCTGTAGCATATGTTATAAAGGGGCCCTAAAAAAACACGTAAATATGAAAACACAAATTTTTAACTTGCATAGTAAAGTAATTGTATTTATTTCATTTGCTATACAGCCATATAATACGACAAATCGCTAACCTTAAACACACATGTGGTTCATAAAAGTTGAAGGCAGTATAGTACTATAGTACTCTTTGGTTCTATTCGGTAAAGTCACGTAAGTAAAAAAATAAAACAAAAAATCACGACGTTTCGGCCACAACACAAGTGGCCTTCATCAGGTGAAGGGACCGTACTGTCCAGAGGACAGCGTTGGAGTGAAGACAGCCAAGCCCAGGTCGCGTCCTTTAGGCTGTGTGGGAGGAAACAAAAAAACGCCTTGACAAAGGAATTCGCATAAAATGCTGTCGAGGACCGGCACGGGGGGGGGGGGGGAGTTTACAAATGTTGGTGTGAAGGGAAATAAGCTGCTTACACCAACATTTGCAAACTTTTGCCTGAGACTGGAAGACCTGCCGCGGATTTTATTGACTTCTGAATCTGGAACCACGAACCGCCAGATTAAAACACACCACTCTTGAGAAGTGTAGTTTCTTAAGATTAATATAGTGGTGGTGTAAATGTAGTTTATCGGATGAGCATCAAGAGCCCCGTGTATGGCTTGTGCTCATTGGAGGTCAATAGCAGCAGCTCAATGTTGCGTCTCACGCATTCCTCAGGACTCCACCACGGAGGTGGTGAACAAAATTGAGGATGTCTCCAATATCTTCTGGAAGCCACTCCGGGCCAATGACCTCCGTTGGAACTTTGACAAGTTTCTGGTGGATCATCTGGGGCGCCCCATCATCAGGTACGAACTTTTCGAAGACCGATATATACAGGAAATGCCTACTGTGCAGTATATAACAAACTCAGTAGCGTACCATCTATACATCCATTATTACACGAGTGACCTAATCAGTTATGACCAACGTTAATTTCATTCAACATCTACGATCATTGGAATTGCCAATGGCAACATCGCTCCCCGACTAAGGTTTCACGTGGGTGAATATTCCAATTAGGGGTTTTTCAGTAAACCGAAATGTTGACAAGCTAGCAACATTTTGGCAATTGTACACTTATATCCTTCCTTAACATTGTTTAAAATTTTACATTACAGTACACCTACACGATATCACCCAAGATAAACATATTATGTATCATATTGGTCGTGAAAGCCTACGTATACAATAATTGTTCTTTGTTCAACCTTTTAAGATAATTGCAAAAGTAGAACATGAGACAATAAGAATATGAAACACCACAGCAATCCTTTTCACGTATCAGCAACTGCATTAAGCACATATACTCTCTTAAATAACCAGGTGTTGTTACACGTCATCACACAGTCGTTTCTAAATGCTTGTTCGTTTATACGCTCTGGAGATGGATTTAGTTGTCATGGTGTATTTTTTGTATCCAGAGAAGCCAGTAGATTTAATAGCACAGGTTGTGTTTTTCTACAGTGGGATTAAATATTGTGTTGATTCTCATCTCGTTTAAACTGCTTGCCATAATCACTCTTTGGTTATTTCGGTAAAGTCACGGATAAATAAATAATAAATCACGACGTTTCGATTGCAACACAAGCAACCGTCATCAGGTGCAAGCTCAGAGAGAGACACAAAGGGAGAGACAGAGAGAGACACACATAGAGAGAGAGACACACAGAGACACGGAGAGAGAAAGACAAACTCTCTGTGTTGCATTGCATTACATTTATAAGTTTACTAGCTTTGACTTCTCAAACTTCCAATTTCTCTCTCACTGCCGCAGATCCCCCCCCCACCCCCGGCTCTACATGCCCCCTGCTGCAGATCCCATCCCCCCCTTGTCTCTCATTGACATGCTCATTTCTCCGCCCCCCCCCCTCTCTCCCATGCCAGTGATCTCTATATAATACCTCGTCACAGAGACGTTGTTTCTCTGTGTGTCTCTGTGTGTCTCTCTCTGCGTGTGTCTCTCTCTATGTGTCTCTCTCTCTGTGTCTCTCTCCGTGTCTGTGTTTGTGCCTCTCTCTCTGTCTCTCTGTCTCTCTCCGTGGCTCTGTGTGTCTCTCTCTATGTGCGTCTCTCTCTGTCTCGGTGTCTGTGTTTGTGTCTCTCTCCGACCTTGCACCTGATGACGGTTGCTTGTGTTGCAATCGAAACGTCGTGATCTATTATTTCTTTTATTTTTTTCTTTCTACGTGACTTTACCGGAAGAACCAAAGAGTAATTCCTGCAGTCACGAAAGCTTCAAATCAAGATTGTCATACTCATTTTTGCAGGATTACGTATTCCTTTCTCACATGGTGGTACACTATTAGTGTTGTGCAATTGTCAATCGTCGTTGTTGTTGTTGCTGCTGCTGCTAAATGCGATGTCAGCACATTGCGATCGTGATGTCGGTGCAGTTTGCACTTTCGAAATCTGCCACGCTTTAATCGTTCCTTAGAGTACCATCGGTTGGCGCTGTTAAAATCAATAAACATCTGGCACACATACACAGTACCGAACGGTGTATTTCCCACGGAGGAATATAAAATGCTACACTGCTATAGAACATTAATGTATGGCTATATATACTAACATTAGTTTATTCCCCTTTGTTCTGACGTCAGATATGACAGGTTGACTTCGTTTGACGTCATTCGGAAGGACTTGGAGGAGATCCTCGGCTGTAGTGGAAGTGAAAGTCATCCATACCACATTTACCGGCGCTAATACCAGTCCATTCAAGACATCTCGACGCAATGCGGGTCTTCAGTAATTATGATCACCATCACGGAGAAAGCCCGTTTAAAATCCACGTGCAACACGCAGTTTATCACGTAAACACATTAAAAACATGTAACATTTTAAAAGGCTAGAAAAAAATCTCACGTTTAATTCCTCGGCTAAATATCGTTTTCAGAAAAATTAAACAAAATTTGACCTTTTATTTATAGCGAAACGGAACCGGCTCGAACAGATAATAATACCAGTGACACAGTAACGTGTGCCCGGAAATCAACGATAGTATTACTGCATTTAAATTGACACCAGTACGGGGGATGAGGGGTGGATTTAAAAAATATAACCTTAATAATCATCACATCCACGTGACTGAACGCAGCAAGCCGCCAGGCATTTAGCTGTCATGGGTTCATGTCATATTGCCTCATCATCAGCTCAGGTTCACATGCGCCGTAACCGTGCAGAAAGATTGCCGGTGATGTCCTTATTAACCAAAAAAAAAGACAATCATGAAATCAAGGAGAGATTTTAACATTGGCCATGTCGCGGTTGGCTGGGTTGACGATTTTTGTTTGCTGTGCGCACCAGCGGATTGGTTGGCTGTTGATGAAGAGCTCTTGGCAAAAGGCAGATGATGCCCCCTGAGAGTCTCCGATGGAAATTGGTGGACTATTGGGGTGAAAGTATTCACTTGAAATCAACAACTCAGTGTTCGATGGCAACAGGGGCTGGACATCTCGCCCGATTTTAAAGACGAAGTGCATTCAGCCGGGCGAAATGTCGCTCCCCGCCTCTGTGCCTGGGACCCCCATGTTCATTTAAAAAAAGTCAGCCTCGCAGGGACGCACGTGAGTCAAAACGACACCCGGTACACGGCAAGCATCTGACCGCGTGTCTTCTTGAAAACGAAGCAACCATGCAAAATAAAGGTAATGATTACTCATTGCGTCCTTGTGTTGATTCGCGTGGGCATTTTGGTGCTACGTACATCTGCCAAGGTGGCTCAGCGGTTAAGATTAAAAAAAAATCCTTAAAACACATTTACAATACTGTGAGCTCAAAAGGAAAAACATTGGCCGATGGCCCTTCATCAAAATACAGAGGCCAGGGAGATAAGAGTTCGGAGTCAGAGAGTGCAATGAATACGTTAAAACCTGATGAGAAACATTCATTTGTGGTTTAACAATGTGATCTTTAAAAATTAGACATTAGATCACGAGCACAGTTCCTGCAACGTAGTTTATAATAGCCGTGCATTCATATACTTTTTCAAAATTTTCTTGCTGTGGTTTTCACACCTGATGATGATTGCTCGTGTTGCAGTCGAAACGTTGTGAGTATTTTATTGGTTTATATTTTTATTATTTTATTGTTTCCCTTCTACGTGACTTTACCGAAAGAACCAAGAATATATACATGCTTAATTTGTATGTTAAATACGTATATGAACTGCAAATTAAGCTTTTCAATGAGACATAGCAATGTCAGTTGAGCCAAATGACAATAGTCGGTGCACGTGGAGAATTACCGCCACCTATTGGACTGCACGCCACGTGTTTAAGAGTAAAATTGACTCGCACAAAAACACATTCACGCGCGCCAACTCTTACCAACGTCCTTTATTTTGATACACGCGGATAATTTTTTGTATTAAGTGCTTTGAGGATAATTCTTAAACACAAACAGTACATAATACAATGCCAAACTGCAAAGGGTAATAACAAACGAGCACATCGACACATGTAATTGCTTTGGAGTGCTTCTATCGTGGGGGGGGGGGGGGGGGGGGGGGCGTACCCAATGTAAAATATCCATTGGTTAAAAAAAAACACAATCGCACCTTCATTTTCTTAATACATCGTTCCTTAGGCAAATAAGTGCTAAGTGGGGACGATTCGTCCACATGTTTACCCCAACTGTCGACGGGGAAACACCTGGCAAGTGCAAGTGTTGGGACTTTTGGACAAGTCGAGTGGTTATCCTCGATTGGACGAGACTTTGGCGCATAGTGCTTTACAGATTCAGAGTCTTGCAACGTCGTTGGACCTCTGCCGTCTGCAGAGAACCTGCAAATTATGGAGTGCTTCCATTGACCTTGCCCCCCCCCCCCCCACCAAGCATATGATCATGGGGCTGAAGTTTAAGAAAACATAAAAATGTTCTCTTTCCTGAGTTTTATCGCTTTATCCGAAGCTTGGGACAAAGTCTGGAAGGTTGCAAGGATGAGCAGTTTCAAAGGTCCTCCCAGTCCCAGCATGAGGTGTTAATCAGTCAACTACTGTGGGATGGATAAGCCACACGCCAACAATTGGCAGTGACATTTCTCCTGTCATATCGTTCACGGTTTTTTTTTAGAGGGCATAAAGTGACAAGGGATTGGTTGGATTTGATTGCTTGCCAGCCACCCATTGACGGATGGCCGAATTACAATATTTGCAAATCATCGTGCAAGTACATACAACGGAGGATGCATTGAAAGAGGTTTGTCCGCCATTCCATTTTAACTTAACGTCCTAACGCGGTGCAAGGATTGAGCCTCTGTGTACGGGATCGCCTTCCCCGCCTGCACGGACGCCCTGGAAGTAGATTCCAGAAAGGCGAATCTCTCTCGCGCTCAAAAGGGCACTTGGATGCGTGTTAAAAAAAAAACAAAAGCTAAAACATTCGGCTGTTTTCTTTGTTCTACTTGATATGGCTTCGAGAATAAGCTAAACCATACATCTTGAAACACAGTTGTGTTTTTTGGGAAGCAACTTGAAAAAGACATTACAAAACTGTAATAATTGTTACGCAACTTAAAAACAACCCCTGAACACATTCCACTCCCACGCCATTAGAAAATGTTAAAGCTTTAAGTCAGACATTTAAAGCCTTTAAAAAGGTGCACTTCTCACAAGTATTTTGGTCTTGGCCAAACAAAAGGAAACGCAGTAATGTATTTCACGGTTTACCATGTAGTATACAAGTTGCTTAATGTATGTACTGCGCAGTGTCATGCTTCCCATATGCTTTCAGCATAATTTTAATTTGCTCAATGTTACTACGCATGAGGAACCATCGGCAAGTATTATTATGCATTGCCAACTTTACAGTCTCAAATTGACGCAACGATTAAAGCAAATAATTGACTGTAGAATGTAAGGACATTGTTTTAAAATAAGCTACATATAAAGGTTAGGCCAACTTTTTTTTATATTTACACACAACTGTGTTCCAAAAACCTTCTGACAATTCCTCAATACAGTAAACAAAGTACAGCACACAGGTGTACTGCAATTGGTTTGTATCTGGTACTTCTTTATCGCTGCGCATGTAACGTTCATGCTGTCTTGGTAGCTCTTTTAATCAGCTCAAACCTGAGATCAAATCGGCCACGGACAATTTTTCCACCACTAAAATTGCTCTACACCCACTGCACAACAAAGCTTTCCTTTTTTTAGCTTTCCTACATTTATACTTAAAAAAAAATTCCACACCTTGCTGCGATGCAAGCACCAGCATAAAGAGCAATAAAAAAACCCCGTCAAAACAATATGGTAACACAAATACATGACGGTATTATTATTGCAAAGTCCTTTTGACATTGCCGTCCTAAGAACTGTTAAATGAAATGTTTTTTTTAACGGCTAATTTTCATCAGAACACATTCTAAAATATTGCATTTTTTTTGGCATATTAAGACAAAGGCAGTCAGGGCAGGCGGTTTACATGCAACACAAAATAGTATTATTCACGGACAACTGAACGTAATCTACACAAAGGCATTAAAAAAAATGAATCCTAAAAATATGAGTCAAGCAAAGCGCTATTTATCACTGCTTCAGGGCACCCCCCCCCTCCCATCTGGCACGTGATGTGAAATAAGCATCCGGCGATCCACTGGTGCCCGTGATTATTATGCGTTTCCAACGTTTCCTTATTAATTATTATTACGGGAAACTGTTTGGGTGTGGAAACGGGAAGAGTCAAAATGCCGCCGTTTTGGGCAACTTGACATTTGCCTCTCGTCAAACGCCACTCTGGCGCTGGCGAGACTTGATGATGATTGGCACCAGACCCAAGTTAAAATAAAATATTAATAGTAAAGCCTTACCAGTCACTATTCACCAGCCCACCTCTACCTCTGACATGGGTCAATTTCTTAACCCCCCCCCCCTCCCAAGCCAGACCATGTTACTTTCTGAACACGAAGTGGGCAGCATTGTAAAAAACACTCTTACGCTCCCCATCTGTGCCCCACAACTCCGATGACTTGCATACCCCAAATCTCGTGGTGGGGGGGGGTCCCAACATCCATTTCAGACAAATTCCCACATTCACAGTTTCATTTCCCCCCATTCCTCACGACACCACACTCGTGGCACGACTGCGGCGGACACTCGACAAGATGCCGCGACGTGATCCAACGTTACAAAAAAAAAACATTAGCTAAATAAAGTCGATACATAGTGGTTTACGATTCGCACACGAGAAACAGAGCTTGTAAAATGATGTGTCGGCAATACGTTCCCCCCAGGTAACCCTTAAAAGGCAGAGCAAAACGAATCGATGAGCAATGTTCCTATTGGAATTTGGCAACACAAAACAAATCGTCGTTTGCTTTGGGAACACTGAGCGCATGGAAGAGAAGGTGTGGGGCATTTCGTCTCATTGGCAACACTCCGTGCACATGCAGGTGTGGGTGGTTTTACAAGATCGGTTTGTGATCATTGCCAATTACTTTGAAAACATTGGGGGGGGGGGGGGGGGGAGATCAACCACCCCCTCCCTGAGAACTCGAAAATTAGTATTTTATTGATATTTAAATCAGGTAAAATGTATGGCTTATTTTTTAACCACTTGGGCATTTGGGATTGATTCGCCTCTGTGCGTGGCATTGGGCCAAATCTGTGCGACTCTGTGGGGATGGGAGCACGAGCTTCTGCGTGTGCCGAGTTTGCTCTTTGCCCGCGAGAGAGCTCGGCCTGGCAACAGTGGCCGCGATGAGGCCCTCCGTGTTGACAAGCTACAAAGGTGCACCCAATGTACAAGTCGGCACTGCTGTGTACATTATAAAAAGCCCCGTTTCAGATTAATAACTTTTGGTCCATTACAGAGAATGCCTTTATACCTCGTCTAACCGCATAGTCTATGAAATTAAAGTGGTATTGTTAACAAACAAACAAAAAAAGTTGAATGAGTGTTTGTTCTTGCCCTGTGGGTCTGGGTGGCAAGCCTTGCCATGTCCTGGCAAGCCGTTCATACACAAAACAAATGTATGTTTGTTTGTTTCACGATTTCTCATTGCTTAAAATGGTGCAGCTTTTACTTCACGAGGAATTCCTGCCAAATTCTAATTAATACGAGGATGACGATGACCATCACGAGTGCCGATGCCGACAGGGGGGGGGGGGCAAAACAAAAAATATACTTCTGTACTTTCCCCATTTTGAAGTGTTACTCCCTCGCGCCCTGTCGTTACGCAGTGAAATTACGTCGCACTGGACGCGGCAAACGGCCCTCGTCACAAATTGACGGAGCGGGGCCAATTAAAAAGAACGATTTTTTTTTCTCCTAAACCACCGATCTCCGCGAGCTGCCCCCGCCACTCAGGAGGCCTCCATCATGCCCAGGCTGTAGAGCTCATCCTCGGCGCTCGCGTGTCTCCGCCGCGGACGCAGCCGCACCAGGGCCACGATGAGCGCCGCCAGGACCACGAACGCGCCGATGATGGCCACCAGGCCGACGAGCGGGTCGTGGAAGGCCGCGGCTTGGGGCGCCCCTTCCGGTCGGCCCACGGCCGCCTCCCTCGGGAACCCGGTGTCGTCGAGCGGCGTCGCGGTGGCCTCGGCCACCGCCAGGACTGCGTTCACGGTGCCGTTGACCGCTTTCGAGAGGGCCATGGCGCTCGGGCGTCACCGCTGCCGTCCGGCGGAGAGCTCGACGAGATGGCCTTCGAGCGCTTCCTCCTCCCGCTCCCGATGGGAACGCGTCACTCCCGCGCGCAGAAGTGCTCTGCCCGCCACCACCCCCGGTTCTCCTTCTCCGTGCGTGCTGGTGCTAAGCCTGCGGCGAAGAGACGCGAGACGTTACGCGTTAATGTCTCTCTGTGGTCGACGCAGCGACGAAGGGTACCGCGGCGCTGGTTGGCTCAAACTCTTCATCAACTTATCACCCCCCAACTTTGATCACATCAACCGACTGAGTGCAATGCAATGTGGCGTTTCGGTGCGGAACATTTTACTCCCCACGTGTATCCTTCAATGCCATATATTTTGATAAATATTATATCATTAAGGAACCGTTGCGTTCCCACTTAACGATACAACTATAACATACCATCGATATATATAAACTAGTGATTTTAACATACCAGCCGCCCAACCGATTCCATGATAGAGAAGTTAAGACATACAAGTCACGCGAAACCTGACACGTGATCTTTTATATACTTTTACAAGAACACTCATCTAGTTTAGAACGATTCCCTTATTGGCAATAAACTGTAATACGTGTTGTTACTAAATGCCTGCGTCACGTACGTCAAGACGACATTGGTACAAACTACTATGCAGTTCATTGGGGCATATATTGCCCTGTTTACATTCTTTTCTAGATTATTACGTAAGGCTGCGGTCACTTGGCAGAAAGACTTTCAAACGTTAGTTCCCGTGGTGACAAAACATGGTTTTAAATCGGAGTCTCTCAAATAAAGGGATATCCAACAAAAATAACAACACAGATGGCCAGATATTACATCTGCCTACCCCATAGCCGTTTTGAGATCGTTGGCTATTTTATTTGCAGGAACGCGGTTCCTTTCTGGACACAGTAAAAACAGCTGGAGGAGGATGACGACGTGGCCTGGATATCTTGACTTGGAAATCTGTAGCTGCTTTGTTTTCACACGAAATCTGACTTTCTGTGGCTGGGCTGAGAGAGAGGGGGGGGGGTGTTTAAAACCACGTTTGGTGCGCCGTTTGGTGGCTGACATGGAAAAGAGAGTTGGCCGTTTGCGCCACACTTTGTACCAGGTTTTTTCGGGCGTTATGGTGTGCTCACGGCAGTCGTGGAGTAGACAATGTTCTAATTATGGAGCAAGCGCTAATGTGGTAATGTTCTCACACCGCCTTATCACGTTGTGTTGCGATAATACATTTTGGAGGACAAAACCTTCGATCGCAGGTGTAATTGCTAGACTTTGCTCATTTGGGTTCAATAGGAAAGAGCCAAAAATATAAGTGTAAATAAAAATTGCGTAATTGTTTTTTTTTACTTACATTTGCGGTTTGGGTAATACATAAAAAAACACAAATATGATTTGTAATAAAAAAAAACATTGCATATTTGAATGATCATTAAATTTCACAATACGTTCATTAAATTCAGCAATGCGTTCAACCAAATTATGTCTTGGATTTCTTGCACGAAATACTGTGCAATGCTGTCGTTTCAAAATGTTTCCTTTTCAAGTTGTGGGAGTACGTGGGAGTAGGTGGACCTTCTGTTGGCAAATACTTAAGACAATCGTGTGCCATTTGGAATTTTTGAAAAAAGGCATTTAAAAAAAACCCATTTATTTTTAAGACCGTTTCAGTATCGTTAAGATTATTTAAAATGTGTGCATATATATAGCTTCAAACGGTTGATGGAAAAGGATTTTTTTGATTACCCTCATTTGAAAACCACAGCATTGAAATGCACCCAAATTGCTATTGTATGGTACAAAAAGCAACTTCTGGAAGGTCAACTGGCACAGCAAGTACATTTGTGTCATTCCATGGCAAAGCAGCTAGCGAATGCTGGATCACTGTTGTATGTTTTGGAATACGAACCAAACTATCGATAAACTGGTCTAAAAAATGAAGTTCAGAATTTGTATTTCAAATCTCTTAAATTTTGATTTAAAGCTTTCGTGACTGCAGGGATTCATATTCTTGGTTCTTTCGGTAAATATATAACAATAAGAATTTTATTTGTTTTATATTTTTTTATTCTTTTGTTGTTTTCCCTTCTACGTGACTTTACCGAAAGAACCAAGAATATTTCAAATCTCTTGTGAAGAAAAGGGTTTTGTAGACTAGGAACGATAAACAACATGCGGGGTCCATTTAAACTGGTGTGCCGTCATTGGGCCTATGAAATTAGTAACCACATTTGTCTGTAAAGACTATCAATTTAATATCTTTAAAATAAGCATCCTTGCTAAAAGAACACAATTGGTGGACCAGTGTAATTGGTGCTACGGTGGCGAGATGTTAACTACCTCGCCTGGTGTACAGGTCATGGGTTCGATCCAGACCCTGGCACCTGTATGAGGAGTCTGCGTGTTCTCCCTGTGGTCACGTGGATTTTTCTACAGGTCCTCTGGTTTTTCCCTCCATATTTATAAAGATGCGTTTACAGTATTTCGCTGCTATAAATTTCAACGTGATAAGCCACTTCTTTGGCCTATCATTTGTGGCCACGTCGCTGCTGTAAAAGAGCTAGATAGCTCAGTGGTGCCTTACCTGGTAAAATAAAAACAGTTTTATAGTTTTTAAGTAATTGCTTACAAACACTCCTAGTTAAAAGGCAAGTGGTAGTATACTGCATGAACAAGAATGCGGCTTGGAGAGACAGGCATATGTACAACATACAGATTACGAAATCTTATCAACTACTTGCCAACAACGCCACCACACACTTCCGCACACTCGGGTTTGGGTCGCTTGTAAAATCGTTGTTTTCACACAGACCCTGGGTGGAGGAGCCCGAGGTCATTGATTCAGGCAACACCTAATGTATTTAGTCTCGGATATATCAGAGTTGGTGCAAGCATGCGCGCAAGTGTGCGACCGGAACTCAGGTGACATGGACCTGATTGGCATTTATAATTACTACGATTAAGTAATTTGTTATCCAGGAAAACCATCACCGAGTCCGTCAACTCTTTTCTCGAAGAGGCCTTCATCGTCACGGCCTTCCTAAGAAGCGCCTTGCATTGTGGAAGGAAGAAGCCATTGCGTGGCAAGAACGTGCAAGTACGCAAGGATAAGCAATGATCCACACAGATGGGTTCATGAACCCAATTGCTATACTGCTATATCCTGGGCACCTTGGTAGCTCTGAGAAATGAATTTTCACAAAATTACGTGAACCACTAACCCGAGCCTTCTAAGCTCTAGATAACCAATGTAAAGCTACCAATCCCGGCTAGAATAAAGTTTTTAGAACAGGCTTAAAGAGTCGAGCTGGAATCAAGGCGTAGACGCGCATTAAGATTTGAGCCCTCAGGGTTAAAGTTAGGGCTTGTGTTGAGGATTAAGTTAATGTTGAGTGACTATGTGATGGACATCATGATTGACTATTTACGGGCACTCATCCCTTTTACAACCTGGATTTTAAAAAAAGAGTCCTACTTTATACATTATCCCACACTCATGACTCACTGCTCTGCATAAAGTTAATATATTTCTGATATAGCAAAGCATTTTATATGTCTTGAGCTTTGACCATGTTTTATTTAATCTGAAATTAGTTGTGCCAGTAATCTCCATATATATAAAAGGCAAAAGTTGTGAATGTGTGTCTGTTCAAAATGTTTAGTGTACTTCCTGACATGCAACAAACTTGAAATTTGCCATGTGAGTACTTTCCAGACTGTACACCATGCAACATTTTTAAAAATACACTTTTTATGGTGGGGGGGGGAGCTCAATAATGCATATTTTTTTTGCACGGCAAGTGAGCTGTGACGTCAAATCTGTCATGTGACCCGCGCATGTGGAAGCGTAACGCATTGTAGTGTAGTGGTTAGCGCGCCGTGTATGTGTCTGTGTGTGTCTGTGTATGTGTCTGTGTGTGTGTCTGTGTGTGTGGAAGCGTAACGCATTGTAGTGTAGCGGTTAGCGCGCCGCGCTATGAACCCGGCGACCTGAGTTCGATTCCCGCTCACGGCCACCACCGGTGACGATTATTTTAACCGGTCCTGGGCCTCCCCAAGGTCGACTCAGCCTCAAACGAGTAACTGCTGTGGTGTGTGAACATCGCCACTGGGGAGACAAAGGCGGCCGGGCGTGGTGAAACCAAGTCCCGGGCTAAGCCGGGTAGTACAGCTAGTTATTGATAAGATACGGATTACAAGTTTGCTCATACCAGCTTTACCATACATGGGCTGACACGACAGAAATAAAACACCATATCATACTCTGCATTCATGTCAACCTCATTACGGCAATTATATCACATTCTTTTGGAGGCCAAAAAGCAAACTATCTTTAAGCGAGCGCTTTTTTTGCTTAAAATGTTTCAAAGACAAAATACGTGCACCATTGAGTTATACGGCATTTTGGACGTGCCTGGCCTGTGGGCACTGAGCGCAGCAAGAGGCGTAGATTTTGCTCAAGGCAAATTTAAGTTAAACTAAAATGCGTACACTCGTGGCGACGTGAAAAGGCAACGCATAAAGGGGCGTAAGTAAAGGCACGAGGAAATGCTTGGTCTGAATTCAGTGTTTACTTGGGACTGCATCGGAAAAGGGCCAGACCCGTGGAGAGGATGCACATGTGTGCGTGTGGTTTCATATGTATGAGGCCATCCTCCACCCCATCCACCCATTGCCCCCTGTGCTTCCTTGATGATAAATTCAACTCGGGTGTTCTGCGGGACTTCCCTAGATTCGCAAAGCACAATAAGTCACGTTCGCACGCGCTGCCAAGCTCCGCGCACACACACACTGCTTCATAAATTGCACGTCTTCTTGGTTCTTTCGGTAAAGTCACGTAGAATGGAAATAAAAGAATAAATAATAATAAAGTAAACCATTTTATTTATTATGTAAATAATAAAACATTTTTTTATGTTTTATTTTTATTATTTTATTTCCATTCTACGTGACTTTACCGAAACAACCAAGAAGATGAATCCCTGCAGTCACCAAAGTTTTAAATCGAAAAATTGCACGTTCTTTGTACGCACCAAAACTGGCCTGACAAACTGTCACGTGAGCAATCGGCCTTGACTTTGTTGACATTGCCCGTGGGTGGGAGGTCAAGGATCGTACCGAGTTAAGGAGCGTGTGGAAG